GACAGAAAAAAAAAAAAGAAAAAAAAATTTTTCCAAGTGATGCTTTTTTCTTGGGAAGGAGCAGGATTACAACAAGGTACTGTTACAGCCAAGTGGGCAGAGCAGTTCTAAGGTGTAACGAGGCACCAGGTTAATCACCCTGGTCAATCGCTTTCGTCACAAGAACGCCTTCTCACATAAATCCACTAGTGCGCCAAGGGGCATATATGTGTACTTCCGCAACATTCAGTAAAACGTCTAATGCGTTGTGCAGTAGGGACAAAGAAAACGGGAAGTGCAAATAAAACTAAATAAAATCAATGCAGACTGTGCCTCCTGCGTGCTCGCGCATTTTCCCATTGCTGATCTTTTCTTTTTTTTTCTTTTGTGGACTTCATAAATGAGCATTGCACCAATGGCACAGGAAGGCTACAAAAAGTTGGGGAACGCATAGAGCGATAGGGTCATGAGGTATAATTTCTGAATTCAAAAAAAAAAAAAAACTGCTGTGGGTAACACAAGCGTCTTAGCAAATTCCTCTCAATTTTCCACCCAAAGAGCAAAAGGGAATATATCTGCACAATTTAAATGCGTGCATGCGGGAATGTTGTCATCCATTTAGTTAAAAGGGGAGGAATCGGATGAGGAGGCACCGGATGGCGAGGAACCAGATGAGGAGTAACCAGATGATGAAGAACAGACGGACGAGACGGATTTCGCGCAAGAGCTCGGGTTACATGATGACCCTTTCCCCTTTGCAACTGCGGCGCATTCCCCCTGTTGCCAATTCTTCCCCGTTCTGCCACCCACCTTGCGGGTTGGTTCTCCACCATTTCCATGCGCCTACATGGCAAACTAAGGGATGGGCAACTTTAAAAAAGGTGACGTGAACACGGGTTAACATAAAAGGTAGTCTCAGCGTTACTCATACGGGCATCTACAGGAACGGCACCTCTACAAGGAAGCATCACCACCCGATCGGTTGTGCCACACAGTATGCTCAACTTTGCACACTAATTCGAACTTCTAAAAAAGGGTTTTCCTTTTAGGACCCTCACGGGGGGGTAATGCATTACAGCAAAAGGTTCCATTAAAAAAAAAAATAAAATAAAAAAAAATCACAAAGTGACAAAATGACGGCAACATAGAGAAATGCTCCTTCTTCACGCACCCCTACTCTCTGAAAAAGCTCCGAACGAAGTCGGCTTGCTCCTGCGTTCCAGCTAGCCTCTCCCTGTCTGCAATTTTCATGATCTATGAGCATGTGGGGGAGAAGAAAAAGGTACGGAAAAATACTAATGTGTGTTGCTCATAAGGCCGTCCACTTTAAAGCCATCGCTGGGGGGAAGTCTCTCTAAGGGGAAGAAGGGACGCTCACACACCCATACTGAAACTCACACCCAAGTGTGACTGATCACGTAGGATACTCGCCTCCTCTTTGCAAGGCATACCTGGACAATGTAAACAAACTGGCTGTAATCCAGCAAGGGTTGAAACAGCACCGGCGATATGATGCCTTTCCTCCTCAAGTGTAACCCCTTGGAACCCAACCCATACAAAACATGCAAATGAAATGAAAGCTTCTTGTCAACTTTCCGTTTGTATAGTTCGTCAATTATTTCTAACTTGGACCATTTGGCATGCAGCATCTTGGAGCTCAGCAGAAAGTTTAGAACGCTGTTTATTTTTGCCCTCGGGGGGGACACAGATGATGACGGCGATGGCGACGACGGCAGCGATGCTGACAACGGTGTGGGCGATCCGATGGATACCCTTTCGAATGCCTTTTTCAGAGATTCATCATTGAAGAGGGACTTCCCCTGAGCTCCGCGGAAATATCCCCCCCCGGTGGTGCCCATTCGTCTCATGACTCCGCATGCTCTCAACATTGTATATATAATAATCTTCTTTAATCAAATGGGGAGGAGAAATTCCCTTCCACTGGCATCAGTCACGGGGGGATAGAACACCAGGTGATAAATCGCTCAAAAGGGGACGAAAGAAAAACCTTACACCAACGTTACGCGCGCCTTACCATGTAGACTATACAAATGGCGGTGATCATTCATTCCATTTGGAAAAAAAAAGAAAAAAAAAAAAAAACGACACCCTTTTTGACCAAATTGCCGCTGTCCTTTGCAGCGTTTTTCCTACTTAAGCTGCGCTCCCCGCAATGGTCGAGTCCTCTTCTGCGCGGCCACTACGCCACTGTGCTGCCATGCCGCTAGACCTGGAACCTCCATTGGCTCATCCTATTTCGGAGGTATTCTCCTACGGTGAACCCAGAATTGCCCACTTTAAAAGAAGGTTTCAAAAAGGGGCTTTAAAATGAAGTCACAAAAAAGGGAGAAAGTTCAAATGAATAAAAGGTGGGACACGCAACAACATGCATATGAGCAGCGCGACACACATGCGGAGCACACAAGAGTAACACCCCTGAGAAGGGGTCCAGCGCCGTGCACTTGCGCCCGGCACATTTATACGAAGAAACCCTTAAAATTGAAAAAAAAAAAAAAAAGAACTTTAAAACTAGATCACCCTTCTGTGGAGATGCCCATAAGGGGGCGAACAAACCAACCCATTTCGATTGCGCATGTGCAGATACACATATTCATACGCATGCTGGTACAGGTGCCCTGCTTCTTCCCCACTCCGACGCCGCTATCCAAACGAAGAACCAAACACACAGAACGTTTTTTTACAAGAAAAAATAATGGGGGGTAAAAAGACAGGGTGCGCACCGCGGGCGGGGAATCTACATGCACATATTCCTACATACATGCAGACGTGGGCGGATACCCATACAAACATACATTTTGGGCGTACCTACACATAAGGGGTTCGCCTCATGACGGCCGCTTCACCCGCTCGTGATGTTCTTTATCTGCTTGATGAATTCATCCCTAGACGTGTTGCTCATGAAGGTAACAATGTACTGGTTCAGCTTCTTCTCATCACCTGCGGGAGGGGGTGCAAAGTAGAAGAAACAGAAATAAATGGAGTTCCCTCAGTTGTGCAAAAAGAAAGAAAAGAAATATATATATACGTATATATATAGCCGCGCTCACACAACCTATATGCAGTTGGGGAAGTGCACCGTTGGGGTCACCGCCCATATCAGCTAAGCCACCCAGCCCTTACATATGTCTCTCCCACTAAACAAAGCAGAGGTGCTCTTGGAGGGAATTATTTTGAAGCCCTCGAATATGTCTGTATTTAAAAAGAGTCTGCCACTCCCTTTTTGAAAACAAAGAATTCGGAACTTGTTATTCTCTACATTCTTCATGATCTGAATCTTCACTGGCAGGTATCCTGACCAGTCATATTTTTCATTCTTCTTTATGAACTTGCTTATCTTAATGCTGCTTTCGGAGTAAAGCACTTCCTCATTCTCTGCGAGGGGGGAGAGAAGCATGGAAGGAGAAAGAATACATACGTGAAGTGTCTAATACATAAATCAGTGTCACTTAATTAACCCTATATGAGCAGATACACATGTGGACACTGCTAAGAGGTGATTTACCGAAGGGATTCTCTGTCTCCGAGATCTTCACTTCCTTCTTCTCCTCCACGACGCTCTTGTTTTTGTTCAGTCGCTGCCTCAACTTCTCAATGTCGATGTTTACGCCTCCAAAAATGTTCAGCTTCCCCACGTGCTCGCTGAAGAGCTTGCTGGGAGAGTTGTAGTCATTCTGCAAAGGGGGGCAGTGGAGGGGGGGGAGGAAGCACGTGGAGGAAAAATGTGGAGGAAACATTTGGAGAAAGCAGGTGGGGAGCTCAAAAGGGGGGGAATCGTGTCCCATGACGCGAAGCAACCAAAGGGGGCTACGCTCGAGGGGGTACTCCCCCCACTCCCATACACACACGCAACTGTTTCTTTTCATTACCATGGATGCAAACAGACGATCGTTCTTCTTAATATCGCTGCATTCGCTGCCCGCACTTTCGTTGTCGCTGTGAAGAGGGGTAGATAAAAATGCTCATTGGTGATTGCACAAAAAAGCCTGGCTTCTGTGAGCATAAATGTGTATATGTAAGCATGTGCACATGGAAACACACTCATATATGAACACAGCCACACATGGACACACACTCATATATGAACACAGCAACACATGAACACCTGCAGAGTCGTTTTTTCATTTTTTTCTCTCCTCTCTATGGCAGAGGCCTCTCCCTAGCTAACCTCTTCTGATTTTTGTTCAAGCTACTCTTGTTCATTCCGTTCTCCCCTAGGTCGTCTTCATATGTTGCATTTTCTTCATTCGCGCTCCCTCTCTCTTCATCGTCACTGCCCTTCCGCGGAGTTGCATCCTCCTCATCAAACTTCTCCTTGCTCGTTTGACTCTCCTCCTCCTTTTCTGATTCTTCGTCGTCCTTTTCGTTTGTGACCACCTCGTTTCCTTTCACTTGTTCTTCTTTTTCTTCTTCTTCATCGTCGTCACCATCAGATGCGTCATCATCGGCCGCGTCACCACCATCTGCGTCATCCCCGTCGTCTCCCTCTTTGGCCCTTTCAATGGCTGCCCCTTTCAGCGATTCCCCCTCCTTATCTTTCCCCTCTTCGTCCGTTTGCTCTTCTTCTTCTCCATTCGCCTCCTCTTCGGAAGCTTCGTTCGATGCTTTGTCTGACACTTCGTCTGACGCATCGTCTGACACATCGTCTGACACATCGTCTGACACATCGTCTGACACATCGTCTGACACATCGTCTAGCGGTTTTTCTCTTGATTCTTCTTCCGCTTGTTCTTCTCCCTCCTTATCATCTTCCATCTCTTCTTCCTCCGCTTCTTTCTCTGCTTCTTCTTCTTCCTCCTCGATATCTGCCAGTTTCATGGCAAACTCCCTTAGTTCGTCATTTTTGCCCTTCTCGATATGTTTCTTCTTTTTTTTATTGCTCTTTTCTACTTTCTTCCTCTCCTTTTTAATCGTTTTTTTCGTCTCCTCAGCGAAGTTATTTCTGGCACTTTTGTCTTTCTCTTTCTTTTTGACGCTGCATTTTTGGGAATCCACTGTGCAGGGACCTTCCCCTCGAACGTCACCATCCAATAGAACATCGTTCTCCGCCTCTCCTTGTTCCATCATTACATGTTCCTCACCGTACAGATCATTTGAGAAGCTCTCACTTGCTTCTTCCTGTACTTTTTTGCAACTTTCATTTTGTCCTAACTCCACTTGGGGTTTACCTGCGGTGAGGAGAGGAAGTTCCGATATGGAATGCAAGAACAAATGACGGGCCTCCAACACCGGGGCATTTAGCCCCCACCCCCTTATGTAGACATTGTTGTTTTCCCCACCCTTGATGCTCACCTATATCATTGGCGTCATTAACTTCGGACGCATCAAAATCCGTTTTAGCAATCTGAAAAGGGTCGAGGCAAAAAAGAAATAAAATAAAAAAATAAAAATAAAATAAACATGAACATAAAAATGAACAGCACAGCACCAACAGATGAGAAAAACTATTTTTCGTTTTGCATTGGTTGGGTCCAGCGAGAGAGTGGGAAAGGTTGTCTCTTTTCCCGAGAGGCCCTGCACTTGGTCGGTAATTCTATTTTGTCCTTTTCTTTTCCTTTTTTGAGTTATAACTTTAGTGGGGGAGATGATTTTTTCGATGTTTCGCCTACGAGGGGAACGTCAGAAGGAGTGTGGAGATGGACGTTCGTTTGCACCAAAGCAGTGGGGAAGCAGAACAGCAGCAGAACAGGAGCGTAGCCTCCAGGGAGCAGAAACAGCCGCGTGAACATGCAATGAGCGCCATAGCAGTGTACATATAATGCCAAGTCCTTCGGTCACACCATGTAGAAGCATCTTCGAGAAGCAGATGGTTCAATGTGACATTCGATAAAGAGAACTTCCATCTTTGGAGGGTCTTTCCCCCTTTCCTTTTAGATCATTTTCTTTTTTTTTTCTGTTTTCTTTCTCCCCTACTTCTTCGAACTCTTCGTTTCCGAATTTCCCTCCTTCGACTCGGGTGAATTTATTTTCTGCAAAAGGAGAGGGAACACAAATTTGACTGGGTGATTGATTCTGGCATGCGCGCAAGGCTTCTGAAGTTGTTTGGACAGATGCTGTCTTCGGTTCGGATGCGCCTTTGTGCGCTTCACCAGTTAGCCACGCCGCTGCTACTCCGTTATGCCCCTTCTCCACTTCGCTTACCATCGTGCTCATGCTTGTCGGCAGGACTCGTCAGCCCCCTTTGCGGCGTTGACGTTAGATGGGTGTTTAAAAGATCGATGAGTTAGCGCCAACGCGGACTGCAAAGATGCATTCGCGGGAACGAAGCGGTTCGTTAACACGCAGGTGGACATAGGTACATCAGCAGGTCAGCCCGTCTGAAGGTAAGCCCGCCCACAGGTCAACACCCTCGTACGTATGCGCGCAAGTGTTCGCGTGTACGTCCTAGGCATGTACCACTATGGATGTCCAAATGATCTCCTCCGGGGGCGTAGGAGAAAAAAGCATCGTTTTTTCCTTTTCAATGTGGGCGGCCTTCCTCTGAGGGGAGGGTTGCTCTATCGTTTATTCTCTCTGTTGGCTAGCTCTCTTTTGCCGCCTCGTTCATATGCGTTTAAAAACGTGCTGCGCCTAAATTCTTTCAGGCATATTTATGAACAAATGGAAAGGGGGGAAAGAAGTTCTTCTCATTTGGGGATTACCCTTACCTAGATACAAACATACGTCCGTACGTGCATATTTTTCTGTATACGCCCTTGTACAGGTAATATTATATTATGCTTCATTTTTTTTTTCTTTTCCCTTTATCTTTTCAGCCCGCCCCAAAAGAGGGAAAAAAATATAATACGTACACAAATTTACATTGCAACTGGGTATTTTTCTTTTTTCTTTTTTTTTTTTTAATTTTTCTGAAGATGGAAGTCGTCATGTGGGTATAATACAGTTGTGTAGAAAAAGGGGACACTGTTTTTTTCATTTTTGTTTCGCTTCTGCTTCCCTCTTCGTTTTCGTTTTTTTCTCCGTTTTTCTTTTCGCTCCTTCTCCCTGCTTTGTTTTTCTTCCCTTCTGCTGCTTTTATTTTCAAACTCACTCCTTGCGCTGTATCGAACATTACTCAAAGGGGCGGGGGGTATCCAAGAAAGGGAATACTAAATAAACCCGTGCCATACGTATGCACCTATTGAGGAGCTCCCTCGTAGGATCGGCGTATGGACACCTACTTGAGTTGATGAATCATATACAGAGAAAAGAATTAAAAAATAAAAAAACGGGGCCGAGAGGTGCGGAACACTAATTGACTAAGACATAACAACAGGCAGTAATGCAGAAATGTCGAGAGAGAAAGAGAAAGAGAGAAAAAAGGACTGATCGAACCACATTGTGATATGATTGTTTTATGCACCCTTCCTGATTTATAACGTCCACTTTGTAAAGGCAAACAGGTTGACACAGCCTCGGGGAAACTTCCAGGCCCGCTGTCGCACCATGTGTGTCATCTGTCACTCAGTTCTTCACGTAGAAGAAAATCCTTTATTCTTGTCTGCACATGCGGACATCCCTACGAGAGTATTTGATGATGGTGTTTCTTCCCCGGGGGTCCCCCTTAAACCACTCCCAGAAGGGATAACTCCCTTTCCAGTTGGCGAACCGGTGCAATGCAGAAATGTCTCCTTCTCGAAACAAATAACAAGACAGCTGCTCAGTGCGCGTAAGAAAAAAAAAATAAGGAAAAAAAGAAAAAAAAGGACATTCGAAAAAAACACAGGTGCCTGTGCAGAAGCAAATATGCATACGGACTTACCGCGACTGCCCACATCCGCTTCTCCATTTCTCGCAAAAGTGCAATTGCCTCAGTGGCTCAGTGGCAACAAACTGGACTGGAGACACACCTAACTAAATGCGCTCTTCTTCGCACCTTGAAAAAAATTTCACACCTTTACTCTGTCTTAAATTTAAAGAAGGTCAAATGAAGGGAGGAATAGAATAAAATAAAATAGAACAGAATAAAATGGAACAAAATAAGATGGAACAAAATAAAATAGAACGAAATAAAATAGAATAGAAGACAAATAAAAAGCGGGGGAGAGAGCTGTGGGGATAAGTTCACAATAAGTGCCTTAATTAAAACGCGTAAACCGCTAGCCATATGTGAAGAGGGTGTAACATAAATGATATTCAGTCACGAATTATCAGGGACAAAAAAGTGAACCACAAACGAGGGGAATGGTGCATAAATACGGGCGGGGGGGAGGCGAAAGAAAAAAAAAATAAAATATGACAAAATAACGCAAAATAGAACAAAATGAAGTGATGTAAGGATCGTCTTCCCCTTTATAGCTTCGGTTAATAAGTCGGTTCGAGGGTGCCATCTTTTGGGAAAGAACATGTTAATTGTGAAGTGGGGTCAGCGGCTACTTCTACCCACGCACACCAGGTAACACTTCTCAAAAGCGCTCACACCTCTGCGACGCTTCTGCTGACGTGGTATATCGCAGTTCCCCTGGACTTCCCATATCGACAAGAGCAGAAGAAAAGAAATTCCTGAGGCACGTGAGCGGGGATCCACAAGTAAGACGTGGTCGAGAATTTTTTAAAATTGGGATCCTTGGGGAAGGCGGAGGATTCGGGGTAGTACTTCGCCTCGGGGAGAATATTATTTATGTTCACCTTTACAAAACGGATAGAATTCAAAGAAAAAGACACCGTCGTAAAGCAGTTGGAAGGTTCCAACCTGACGTCGTAATTTTGGAGGTCCTCCTTATTGGAATTTATGCAGTTAATCCCAACTATGTCTCCGGGATTGGCTTGAATCTCACACATCGGTTTCTCTTCATGTGACTGCGGGCTAGTTAAGAATTGATGTTCCCCTTGATTATTACCAAAGTCACACCCCTTTATGTGTTCATCCGCCGAATCTTCACCAAGAATATTGTTCGACTTTTTAATATTTATTTTTATATAAGGTGTTATTCCTTTGTACTCTTTCTTCGTGTCGCAGACGCAGACAATACTCATGTCTTCCTTCAATTTGAACGGCATAGTGTAGATGCCCAAATTGTACCTGTCGTAGAGAATCTGGTTTTCCAGTATAATCCCCGGCAGGGTTCTATATATGGGTTCTTCATTATTGCTAATTATGAGCCGGTCTTTTATCCCCTTATATCGGAAGCAGTAGCTCGAATTGTACGTGTTCATGTGTTCCCCCTCAGTATGTACAATCGGGCACAAAAGCTTGATTATTTTGTTCGGATCGTAGTCCACCACACAGGACTCCTTCGGGTAGTCATCTAAGTTACAAATGTAATAATTCCCTAATTCGATTTCTTTAAAATATAGCCCATATACTGGGGAATACACACACAGGCATATACATATACTAACCAGCAGAGAGTAAAACACTTTTCTCATCTTGAAAAAAAAAATCGAAAAAAATATAAAAAAGGAAAAAAAATAATATAACAGAATGAAGACGAAAATATTCGACACTACTGGGAGGCATGTGCTCATTTTCCCTACCGTCAGTTGTGCAGCTTTGTTAACTCGTAGCAGACACCTTTCTGTGTGCAAAAATTGGTTCTATATTTTTTGGCTGGTTCAAATGGGGGAAAACGCATCAAACGAGTCGAACGAGTCGAACATGTCAACATGTCAACGAGTGCAGCATGTCAACGTGACAAGGGCTGCTGCTGGGGAAGATCAAAAAATGTATATCCCTGCGAGTGGCTATTTCGATGGGTCAAAAAGGTAACCGCGACGTACACAAATGTGCATGTTCAATGAGGCAGGTTATTAGCCTGCTTAACGATGCCGGCATGTGGGGGCGACAATCTGGAGCCGCGGACAACTATCACGTCGGAAAATGGGCTGATACCGACTGGACACTTGTTCATTTGTTCTCTCACCCCTTTCCGCATGTACAGATTTACCCTTTCCTCGCCTTCCGCCCAACCCTCCCGCCGATGCGGAACGGTTAACCAAAAAGGCGCGCGGGAAAGAGGCACTAACATTGGCAGTCAGAAAATCAGTTAAGCTAAGCCAACTTTTCTCACAAATAAATTGGAGTAAATATTTGCACATTTTGCGCAGCTTATTCGATTTGCCCAAACCGTAAGCGCTGCAAATTTTATAAAAGTACACACATTTCAGTTAAAATCGCGTATTCAGAAGTTTCAATTTTTCTTTCCTCAATTATATTTCCAAAGGGAACCATTTGCAAGTTAAATGTTTCGTAAAACTGGACATAATTTTGCAAAGGCGCAATTTTCTCTTATTATTTTTTTAAAGCATGCAACCATGCACATGTATAGATTTAATCTCAGTTGTGTAACTAGCTCAGAGTTTGCAGATGCCTCATCATTTCAATTTATGTCTTCCCATACACGATGATTTTTCCTGATCATTCTTTAGTCCTCTCTGTTGCGTGTTTTCTTCCTGCTACGTTTTATCTGCTTAAGACAAGTACATTTTTCAAACATGATGCGGAGTGAACATACGAAAATGATTCCTCACCTTTTAGCAGTAAAATGATTGGAATATATTTCTTTGCAATTCTTTTAACACATGCCCCATTACGGTCTCTATTAAAAATTTTTCTTCTCTCTCCCCAGAATAATTTTCTCTTATTTTTGCATTTTTTCCATTTTTTTTTTTTTTTTTTTTTTGTCATTCCCAGTTAAGAAGCGCTTCTACTAAGCTCGTGCTAAATTATGAACAGTACATACATTTCTTTAAAAAAAAAAAAAAAAAACTGACCCGTTCATACATTTTATTAACATTTTTTCCCTTTGCAAATAAAAAATTTCCCATTTTGGCTAGTTTGTTAATAACTACGTTTAATCCTTCCCCGAACGGTGTTCCTGTGCTGGTTTAATTTTTCCAGGTTTCAATCAGTGGGTAAAATGAGAAACCCAAGAACAGTTTCCAAAAAGACGCCCGGAAGATGGCTTACATTATAGTCGAATGAGCATTTTGCGCACGTAGTTCCTTGGTAGAACAAAAAAGAAGCATTAATTTTATTAAAAATTTAAATATGCAGTGGAGGAAGTTATCACGTTGGTTTTTTTTTTTTTTTTTTTCTTGTTGGCACAAGTTCGTTTTGCCCCCACAAGGAAGCAGCACGGTTACTTGCAGAGGTGGGGGGGTGTATATGCCCCCGAGCGGCACATCCCGCGTTGTGTACAGATGTGCTACCTGCGCGTCGGGAAGGCAGCACCGGTGAAAGGCATGAATGAAGAGCCAAATGCGCGCACAGCAGCGCGTTAAACTGTAGAACGCGTTAAAGCGAGGAATGGAGGAAGAGAAGAAAAAGGCAGGAAAAACTAAAAGGTGTATCAGAAGGGTGGCAAAAGGGAAGAAAAATAGTGAGGCAAAACCGCCTGCAGCATCGCGCATGGAGCGTACACACACATATATATATATGTACGTGCACACGAGGTGCTCCCTACAGGGACGAATAACACGCGTAGATGAGCGCCAAAAAGGAAAGTATCAACGAATTAAAGGAGGAAAACTGGGAAGAAGAAGACAACCCAAAGAGGTTTTGCCAAAAGGTCCTCCTCTTCCGTCGTTGCGTGCCCTTACTGAATCCGTCACTCATGCCCATGTCATAAGCATCGTAATTGTTTTCGTCAAATGAGTTGTCTCCAAAATGTTCACGGCTAATGTTTTTATCACTACTATAGCTGTAAGTGCTCCTTCCGTTGGTCCATTCGCTTATACGCCATTCGCTTACAGTCGATTCTTTTCCCTCGTTTCGGTGGCGACTGTGTCTTTGATGGTCGTGTCCCCTACTGGGATGGCTCATCCCCGAGTTGTAATAAATACTATTCGTATTATTATAATGATTGTGAATATATTCCTCCCTGTCCTTTTCTTGCTTCCCATCTTTGTTGACTTCACTTTGGCTTTTCCCCTGGTTGGACTGTTCCCCCGCGTTTTTTCCTCGTCCATCCCACTCCTCACCTGAATCTTCATCGAAATTTCCTCCTTGGATAATTCGATCGATCCCATTGTTGAAGTCAAATAGCAAATTATTTATAGTCTTCAAATAAATGAACATGGATCCCACATGTTCCCCCCGTTTGCAGTAGCAGCTGATTTTCCCTGTCAGGGTCATGTCTTGGGGTAGGATCATATAAGACATGTAGGAATGCATTTGGGATAATTTCACATCTGCTGTTGAATCTGGAATGACTCTCGATTTCGGGATCAAATTGTTCGTAGACAAAATGATATCATTTCCATAGTGAACACTATGGAAGCAGTTGTTGGGCACTAGTTCTAAGTTTTCATTGTACGAATCGTTACTCTCCTTCTTGTAACAATTAATTCCGATTACATCCCCTGGGTAAGCATGAATCACACAAGCAGCATTTTTATTCAAGTTAATGTTATTTGTTAAGTCTCTTCTTGATAAGATATTATAGCCAAAATCACAACCTTTTATTTTTTTCTTCGTTTTTTTAAACACCAATTTCATCACATGTTTAATTTTTTCTTGCATCCCTCCGTAACATAAGCAACTCAGATCTATGTCTTTGTTCGAATAGGGGGTGCTAAAAAATAGGAAGTACCCTTGAAAAGTGGAGTCGTTAGTACCCATTAAATTTTGAAACAATTCGTAGGTAACACTATCTGCGGAGGATTCACTGGGATCACTTTGATTTATGAAGGTCTTATGGGCACACATTGCTGGGATTATACTTGATTTGTAATCATTATATTCACTTGAGTTGCAGATAAATATAAATGCCTTCCCGAACTCATTCTCCATGACACACTCTTGGGCATCGTCTGTCTTCGTATCTATTTCGCACAACTTCAGGTGTCCGATGCTGATCAAGTCGTTTATCTTCTTGCACACAGCTGCCCATTTAGCGATGAAGCAGGCCGCTAAGCAGCCCAGCAGAATCAGCCTCATGCCTTGCCCGGTTTGAGGCGACGCGGTGAGGCCTAGTTGGTAGGGAAACCCTCCTTGACACGGCAAACCAAGGGGGGGAATCTCAAAAATGGGAAAAAAAGAGGAGGCAAAAAGGGGGAAGCAAAAAAATGGGACAAAAAACTACTGCGCAGTAAATCGGGTAAGTAGGACAAGTCTGTCGTAAAAAAAAAGGTGGGTTATTTCACAAAAGGCTGCTCCAAGTTTGCCAGAAAAGAGGACGACGTGGAAAACTCCTGAGCCAAGCCTGTCACAAAAGCGGCACCACGTGACAAACGGCTGCGCCGAGTCTGCATGGTTCCTTCCTTAATTCTGTGGGTGACTCACAAAAACCAAGTCATCCAAATGTTTCAATCATAAGGGCAATCAACTTCGAAAAAAAAAGAATCCCTGTCTCGAAGTACAAATGTCCACCGCTCGTGTTTTCATTCCAGAACGCAATAAAATCTGCGATCGAAAATGATGACAATGTGTGCACATGCAGCGAATTTTGCACATCTGCCGAAGGCATTGTTGTTGACAAAATTTGAGAAACTCATCTGATAACGCAACTGACCTTTGGAGAGGGGAAAAGGAGAGCGCGTGCCGCGTCAGGAGACGAAAAGCACATATAGAGTTTTTCTTCTTTTCTTTTTTCTTTTTTGCTTCGAATGAAGTCTCTATACAATTGCAGTATGTTTTGGTTAATGATGAGAGGGGGCTGTCTTTTCACTGCATTGGGGACCATTTTGTTGTCCATTCTCTTGCCCACTTTTTTGACCCCTTGCATGCAGCAAATAAAATTTCCACCCCAAAAAAAAAAGCAGAAATGAGAAGGGCGAAAGGAAAGAGCAGATGTTGCCCCCCTCTGGCAGGAAATTTAAGTGAAAATTTTTTCTTTATTTTTTTTTTTCTCCCTTCTGCTAAATTTCCGTCCAACATGAGGTTAAACGAATTAATCCCCTTTTTGCCTACTGTACAGAGGTACCTGCATGATGGCTACATCATTCCCCACTTCTTTTGCCCATTTCAGAGTGAGTGAAATACAAAAAGAGATGGGGCAACCTGCCCGGTTGAACATGGCGAATGGGAAATCCCTTCACTCTTTGTCCCAACACAAAGGAAAGGAAAGGAAAAACAAATTTATGCGTACCAGATGTGCAAGTCAGCCTGCTGGGAGAGGCAACTTGGCTTCTCTCCACCTCCTTGCACTGCAATGTCGCGGAACAGTCAGCGAAGATAGCAGCAACTAGCGAAGACACCAACAACTGCACCGTTGGGAAGTTCAAATGGTTGCAAAATTGGGTAATGAGAAAATGCAAGTGAAAGCCAGCCTCCAAAAAAGGCAATACACTTAAAGTGACTCGATAAAATGACAAATTTGAGATCATAAAAAGGGACGAAGTGGTACATTTTCTGCTCCCTACTCCATGGATGGCGCGAACGTGGCAAAGGATCGGATGCGGATGGATAAGGAAGTTCTTCGCGATTGGGTGTACTCGGTTCGATTCATCATTTCTCCGGGTCTTAACTTTGACACCTTACTGATTCTTAACTTCCCCATTTCAGTGCTTCTTAACTTCACCACTTCACCCCCACACCTAAAACAAACAGAGGAGCAACACGGTCGAGAGCCCAATCAGCACGGAAGAGGACATGGCGTCCTTCTCATCCTCCCGCGGTGCCAAATTGTTTCTGTTCTCGCCGTTCTCCGCCTCGCTTTCATTTATGCTGTTCCTCCACGGGTTTTTATTTTCGGCATCAGCTTCCTCCTTGACGGGGTGAAGCTTATCCGTTTTTATAAAATTCAACCAGAGGGTTCCTATGTAGGAGATGTCCAGCACATTGTCTGTAATGGAGCAGCTGCATTTCACCTTTAGGGCCTCGTTTATTTGAGGGGGAGCCACAAGGTAAGACAAAAATCTGGGCCTCATAGAATCATGGACGTACGTGCTTAGTCTGGGTATAACCTTAGCTCCACTAAGTACCCCAGAAATTTGCACCTTCTGATTATTCTCATTTGAAACTTCGTTAAAGCAAAGGGAAGGATTAACAATGACGTTGCTGTACCTGTTGTGAGCTTGGCACCTAAAGGAGACAACATCATTCGTATGGACATCCACAGTGCACACTTTTTTATACTTTATATTGACATTTTTTTCTATGGAATGTTCCTTTTGCTCTCCTTTCTCATCCGCATAGTAAAAATTACAACCCTTAACATTTTTTTTATCGTTTTTGGCTATTTGGAGGTTTAACATGTAAGCCTTGTTCTTGGACCTGTCAATGCAATTACAAGAGAGGGACAATCCAGTGGTCATGGTGTGAGGCACGTAGAAATAATGCGTATTGTCCTTATCATTTGTCTGTATAATTAAATTTTGGACATACTCTTCCAATCTTTTTATTACATTTCTGTTGGAGGCATCATTTGATTTCATTTTATCAAAACAGGTGTTGCTGTTATCTATTTCATGTCCGTTCAGGCGTACAACTTCTCCGTTATTATTTTGTTCTGAGTATATAGGACAGTACACTTTTATTTCCTTCCCAAATTCAGCTGTTACATTACATTCCTTGTCTTGGTTAAACTCAGACACACACAAAGTCACCTCCTTCTTGTTCTGGGAACATAAAACGTCTCTTTTCACTTCGAATGGGAAAGACAAAATGGCGAAGAGGACTCTTACCCGTAGTGAACTAGCCATTTTTTTGTTGTTCTGCAGCTAATCGGGTGTAAAAAAAAAAAGAAAAAAAAAAAAAATAAAAAAAGATGAACTAGCTAAATTATCCTCCCTCTTAGCGCATCTCTACTTTCACCAGAATGTTTCCTTTTCTTTCATGCAGACTTGTTGCATCCGGCAGATGACTCTTCCAAGGGAAACACCTGTTCATAGCTGCGTATGTACGTTCGCTACGTGTGCACTTTTGCCTCTTATACATGTCCGCACAACGCAGAAGACGCCACGGGGGAGAGAAGGGGCTTAAACAGAAAAGAGAAAAAAAAGAAAAATCACAGAAAATATCATAAAAAAAAGATAATAAAATATAAGTATGCATGAGAAAAGACGAGAAACAACGGGGACGGATCAAAAAACGCGCGAATGAAATTTCCTTTTAAATTTTTTGCAATATGCCAAGAAGACGAAAAACAACCTCTGAAGTTCTCTGCATGCATCTGGTGAAACTGCTCCTTTTTTTTCCGCCCCTGGGAGCCTTCTTGTAAGACAGAACTTTGAAGGAATACTCTCCAAACGTAGTTGCGAATATGAATAAACGCGCATGCTGATATTGACAAGTACAATCTGAGCATATTTTCATTTTTTTACTCAAACTGACAGGGGAGAGAAAATTGCCGAATGGACCCATCACAACAGACCTTTCCTATGTTGCCAAACGCTGCATCAGGGGTGTCACCAAGTGACCCTTAGCGAAGCCCTTTTCTGCATCCACCCATGCATGCATGTGACAGATGGAATTTTTAACGCTCCGTACTTAGCACCTCTAAGCGATATGCTAATTTGGAGCGATCCTGACTGGAAATTTCCCCAGGGAAGGACCCAAACGGGCGAACCCTCTACACAGTTAAGGGAGAAGGAACTCATTCTAAGGAGAACCCAAGGGGGAAGAATCCCCTTAAGGGGACTCCCCCTCCCAATTATGGCAAACAACACAGGGGCAAGATCTCACAAATGGAATTTGCCCAACGCAAAAAAGAGAATTATCTCATGGGGATGTAGTAGTAACATTTCAAAACGATCTTTCCAATGAGGAGAAGTTACACTATTTTTCACTACCCGTTTTGTCGTTCCATTGGAAGAGGGGTACACTTACCTACACCCATTTGCGCAGTTTGTGCTTCCCACGGCGGAAAAGATGAGCAAAAAGGAACATGCGTCTGCGCGTACATAGTACGTACGTATGTACATTTCACTTACGTATGCCCAAACAATGCTCAAAAATGCGTCACGCAGAAATTGTTGCAACAGGCGGGGATTCAATTCTACTTCTTCATCGTTGTAATCGCATCATCGCGATTAGGAGGTGGACTCTACGAAGGTGCACGGCATGCGCTTGCACACTTGCCCATTAAAGCTGAATATACACCTGAGTATACAACGTATACACATTTACATGAATTCTTTTTTTTTTTTCGTATGACGCGTTGTATTCTCTTCTACCAAATTGTTTCCTTCGTTCCTGTGGAGTGAAGCATTATATTTGGGACCACCCCCGAACATGCACCAAAGAAAGGTTGATATTAAAATAAAAAAAAAAAAAAAACACAAAATAGGGAAATTCATGTGTATTTCACCATCGTAGATTGAGTCTCCATCTGTGGAATACTCATCTTGTAAAAGCGATCCGAAAGCACACATGAGCGTTGGCACATCTTCAGGTGGGTGTTTTACCTCCCCATGCGTGTGTCACAAATTTCGGAGGTGACTCGGGGATTCGAGGCTCATAGCAACGGATGAAAACGCATGACATCGAATGACAACGAATGACAATACTTGAAAGCTCATGACCATGCATGCCATCTCCCCCGATTGGCCATACCAATTTTGAAGAAACAAATCGGAGGTCATAAATCCAATTAAATGAGCCTTCCGCGATGTGGTCATATTTGCCAATCATCTTTAACTGCAATTCCTGCAAACGAAAATGTGCAAGGGGAGAACCTTAAAAGAACCCATAGCACATCCTCCGCGTGGCAAGTCTAGATAAAACGAAAGTGACGCATCCATGTAATCATTCACTTCTGCAGTCGCGGGTCACATCAGAACTATGTTAACTGTTTTTTTTTTTTCTCGTAGATGTTCTGCCTACATCGTCGAAATTTTTGCACATCCATAGAAACGCCTCCTTTCCAGTGCCCAAAAAGTGGCACATAACTTTGTGGCATTCTACAAGTATCGAACATCCCAAAAGGGGATGTTCCAACATAAGGGCATACACGAAGGCACGTTTTTCGCACTGCTTTCACTTGGTCGCATTCTTAAGCACCCACATTTTGACGCGTGTGTTGTGTATTCCTTTTTACATCTTCTGTTTGGGCGCCACGCCACCGTTCTGTTTTAGCTTCGTGGTGTCGTACACGCGGGGGTGGGAATCGAAAACCACAAGAGGAGGGCCTCAAGGCGCGGTGTGTGTACACGAGGTTAATATATATATATATATGTTTATATGTATCTCTTTGTATTTTTTTTCTTTCTTTTTCGCCTGAACATGCTGGTATTCTTCCCCTGAGGAAGATCGATCTGTATCTCCGCGCGCAGTGGTGCTGTTTCATGTTGTGCCACACCCAGTTGTTTTACCACATGAATCGTTTTGCTTCATTTTTCTGCGCCTCTCTGCGTTCGCTTATCTTCGCGTCGCTCTCTTCTCATTTCTTTTCTACCCCCTTTGCCTCTCCTTTTCGCGTCCTCTACCCAACAGGGTTATGAGAGGGGCGCAGGCCCCTCCGCGATTTATTCCATTACGCGTACAACCCGAATGCTTTCTATGATCTCCTGAGCAAATAGAAAAATGTGGAACTTGAAAGAATAAAAGAAAAAAAAACAAAAAAATACAAAACAAAATAAAACAGAACAGAACAAAACAAAATAAAACAGAACAGAACAAAATAAAACAAAACAAAGCAGAACATGAAATGAAAAAAAATAAAACGAGATTAGAAAAGAAATCTTTTCTCATTTAAAATTATTTCACCCACGTGTTTCACTTAATTTTTTCTTTACAACCTCTTTTTGCGATTGCTCTGTTCACTTACCCCTTTGCCATATCCTCTTTTCATTTTCTGTAAGTTAACCTTCCACAGGAAAAAGAACAACGCAGCTGTTTTTTAAATCGACTTCTGCTCGTATTGCGAATCACGCCTACATGTGTTGTTAAAATGAAAATCACCCGATGGAGTGGCTACATGTTGTTCTTTAACCGATGAACAGGTGAACGGTGAAAGAGTGTGTGCATAGAAAATTATTTTTGCCTTCTTTGGGCGTGGGTAGTGGTTCCTTCTCCCTTTGAGCAAGAGTAATTCCTTCCCTTTTTTTTTTACTTTCTCTTTTCCCCCATAACACGCTTTTTTATTTCCTATCACGCTTACGGCACAATCTTACTCATGTGTATGTATGTATGCCGCCTGCACCTGCGTACGTGTGTATCTTCACCTGTGCCTATTTACATGTATACCTTCTTGCAACCCCACTTACACGTACGCATTTTTTTTTCTAAGTTTTCTCGTCAGCGATGCCGGACGACACTCGCCTTTGAGAGGAAATTCGCGAGACGCAATTCTCCTCATTACTTCTACATATTTTTTTTTTTTTTAATGTACCTTTTTCATTGATATGCCTATCCAATTTGCATCCTTCACGAAAATGCAACCACACGTTTTAGTGGCCTCGTCAATATTCACCACACAGAGTGTTCCGCATATGCGGGAAACAGATGTGGGTGCTCGTTACATATGCATATAATGCTTATATGTACCCGTTTGGAAAAAAAAAAAAAAAAAAGATGATGATCATGATGATGATATTTTTCCTTTTGACTGCCAGGCTACTGTGACCTTCTACACACAGCTAAAACGGCCCTAAATTCAGTGGTACATTTGAATTGGCTTCATGTAAAGCAGAAAATT